GAGTACACTCCACTATGCAAACTTCATTCTGGACTCTTGTGATAACCATAATACCCTATCATATATGGCTTTTAAACTGTTCTCTCCCTCATCTGTTTCAATGCACTATACATAATTTACCCAGTTTTTCTCAGTCTTACCCCAACCCTGATGCCAGTCCCATTCTACAACAGTGGCACTATGCAGTATTTGTCTTTTTGTGACTGAGATATTTTACTCAGCATAATGTCCTCCAGGGTAACCCAGTTTGAATAATATTGCATGAATTCCTTGTTTTTCAATGCAACGTAGTATTCCATTGTGTGAATATACCACAGCTTCTCTATACATTCCGTTTGTTGATGGGCACTTAGGTTGTTTCTAACTCCTTGCTATGTGAACAAAGCCGTGATAAACATGGGTGTGTATATATCTGCTTGGATGGCGGTTATGGCTTCTTTGGGGTATATTCCCAGTAGTGGAATTGCTGGGTCAAATGGTATCTCTATTTGCAACTTTTTGAGAAAGCACCATACCTCCTTCCACAGTGGTTGCACCATTTTACACTCCCACCAACAGTGAATAAGAGTTTCAGTGTCTCCACAACCTCGTCAGCATTTGATATTTGCTGTTCTGTTAAATTTTGCTATTCTGACTGGGGTGGGATGATATCTCATAGTTGTTTTGGGTTATTATTACTATTGAATTTGACATTTGGCTGGTGAGACCCAAAGGCACGTGGTTCAAATGCACCAGCCCCTCCTCAGAAGGATGGACTGTCCCCTCCAGTGTGATCTGGAGTCTCTGGAGATCTGGTGAAGGGGGAGCTGCGAGTTGGTTCAACTTGAGAGCACGGAACAACCTTGGCTGAACTGGGGTCCCTCCTCACAAAGCTGTGGACCACAGGAGTGTGGCTTTGTCCCTGGACTCTCAGGTCCCTTCCAATGGTCCATGTGCCTCTGGGAACTCTGGTGGCCAAGGCCACAGGGAATTGTGCTAACCCAGGGCTCTCTGGTGGTTCGAATCCACCAGTGGCACCTCAGGAGAAAGATGAACAGTCTCATGCGATTTACAGCCCTTGGAGGGTGGGCTCTGAGTGGGTTCAGACTCCCCAGCAATGACTTTGCGTCTGTTGTTCAACCAGTACCAGGCTGTGGTGTCCACTCACTTCCAACTCTTGGTGACCCTCTACCACGTTTCTGAGGCTGTAAATCTTAATGGGAGGAGACTGCCTCTTATTTCTCCCAAGGTGCACCTTCTTCTTGTTGTTAAGTGCAGTCGTGTCATAGGCGACTTGTAGTGACCCTATCAACGAAAATCCTCAACACTTGTGTGACTTTCATCCTCTCTCCAGGTTCATAGGGTTTCCAGAGACAAGCTATTTCCAAAGTGGATGCCACTCCTGCTTCCAAGCTTGTTTTATTCGAGAGTATCTGAATTTTGTAAATAAACTAGTTGTTGTTGTTAAGTGCCATCATAGGCGACTCATAGCGACCCTATCAACGAAAATCCTCAACATTTGTGTGTCTTTCATCCTCTCTCCAGGTTCATAGGGTTTCCAGAGACAAGCTATTTCGGAAGTAGATGCCACTCCTGCTTCCAAGCTTGTTTTAGTTGGGGAGCTCCACCCCACTCTCTGTCCACCATGGGTAACCATTATCGCATTTGACACATCAGTGTCACTGTGTTCAGCTTCATAGCAACCACGAGTTACCTCAGTACAGCAAGTGGACACACCAGGGCTATACGACCTAGAAGAATGTTTGACCAAAAACAATTAAAAATGGACCCGAGGGCTGCGGATTAAATGCGACAAGGAGCGTCTAGTGGCTTTGAACTGCTGACCTTTTGGTTAGCTGCCCAACAGTCCTCAGCCTGCAGGAGCTGCATGGTGATGTTAACGTCAGGAAGTATGCAACCCCCTGCTTCGTTCGTACCCTTCAGCGTTATGTCGGCCATTCAGGGCCTCTGACATCCATGCACCGTGCAGGGTTGCTGCTTCTGTTTCTGTAGGAAGGCTGTTGGAGTTCTGATCCAGTTCGTATTGGATCTTAGGTTGCTTTGGGAAGTATGGAGATCGTGACATGTTAAGTCCTCTGGTCTGCGAACATGGAACATGTTCCCATTTATCTGAATCTCCTTGGATCTCTTTCAGTGGTGGTTTTATGGTTATCAATAACTTCAACAACTTTGTAGAAAATCTGTACCTGCACCCCTCCCGCCCATGGGTTATGGCCAGCACTGTGTGTATATCGTGTGCCCTGTACGCTGGCCTTGAAAACACCCACCACTCACCTGTTGGCTGCTCCGTGTGGTGGCCAGCTTGTGACTGTGGTGCTTGGAGTCCACCTCCAGCACTTCACAGTGACCCGTGGTGGACAGAGCTTGCCATCCGCCTCTGAAATAACAGGCCTTTAAAGGTCCTGTGACTCACAGAGTAGCGCTGTTGGATGAGAGTGGAAGCTGAACCCTCAGGTCAGGTTCAGGCCAGGTCGGCAGGGTCTCCACCTGCCCCAGGGGAAGAGCTGCCTTCTCAGAGTCTGCAACAACGTGTACGGAGCTAAGCCTTCACCCACTGAAGGACCTTCATTTGCAGATGCAGCAAGACTCAGAATGAGGGGAAACAGCTGCGAACACCCACTAACAATTGGATCATGGAATGTGTGAAGCCTGAATCTTGGGGAAATGCGACCCGTTAAGAATGAAATGGGATGTGGTCAGGAGGAATTGTGCCGGAGGGGAGGAGACTGCCAAGCGGCTGGTGGGGGATCCCTGGGGCTGACATCGTGCCAGCGTGGGGGGGACACCCCGCTGCCAGACCCCTTCACGCCGCCCACCCGTGGGAGGCAGACATGTCCTGCACTCTCTTTTTACAAAAGTGTAAACTGAGGCCAGGGACTAAAGTCCACTCTGCCAGGGGCTGGCTGGGGGAGCCCTGGCTGGCGTCTGCGGCCCCCCAGCCCCGTTCAGTGTCACCCAGCCCCCGGGACGGGTAGTGTAGCAGCCTCCTGGCGGGCAGGACGCGCGGCGCCGGACACCGCCCCTCGCCGCCAGTGCAGCCTATGGGGAAACTGAGGTCCCGGCGGCGGGGT